GCTCCTATGTGGACCTGCTGAAGCTAGAGGACGTGCTCCGCATGCATCCCTTCTACTACAAAGCAGCCATCTCTGCCATCCAGATCTACCTGAGCCTCCACGACAACCCCCTGACTGATGACAGCAAGGAGCTGCAGGCTGACACTGGTGAGAGGACAGAGTCAGATGTGTCTTTGTGTAGGCTGTAAAGTCAGATGTGGGGTTGGGTAGAACCAATATATTTTTCTTAACCAAAAACCCCCACAAAATTACCTTTCTACTGCTCCTTCATTGCTAAGGCTAATTGGAAAGTGAGATTTAACATTAAGTATTAACAGCTTACAGTATACTTTATTTAATGTTTATGGTTCCTGTGAGCAGGGCAACTATTTCAGTACATGGCTTGTGCAACAAAATCTGCATTGTGATTTGGTCCGCTAGGAAACACAACACAATCATAGTCAAATTTGGATTCACGTTGGTACATGACCTGAACTGTTTGATCAGTTCCATGCTGTGTTGAATGCTCTGCTGGACAAAGAAAAGCATTAACGCTGTTCTTTCTTGTCTCCAGCGAACCTTTCGGACAAAGAGCTGAAGAAGCTCAGGAACAAGCAGCGGCGAGCCCAGAAGAAGGCCCAGCTGGAGGAGGAGAAGAAGAATGCAGAGAAGGAGAAGCAGCTGAAGAACCAGAAGAAGAAGAAGGAGGATGATGACGAGGAGATCGGAGGGCCCAAAGAGGAGCTTGTTCCTGAGAAACTGGTCAAGGTTTGTGTTTGAAGCCTTATGATCACTGAATCTGTTGAGGTCCTGTTGAAAGTTTCTCGATTTAAGTTATTGTCCTCATGGCTGTTACAGGTAGAAAACCCACTGGAAGAAGCAGTTAAGTTCCTGATGCCTCTCAAACACCTGGTGAAAGACAAAATTGACACACACCTACTGGCCTTTGAGATCTACTTCAGGAAAGGTTGGCATACACTCGCTCATTTTAATGTCACTTCACTGTCTTTCCTCGGTTTTCACTGTGTTGGTAATATGTCCCTCACCTTACTTTTACTTTTCTTTCAGAAAAATATCTGTTGATGCTTCAGTCTGTGAAGGGAGCGCTGGCTATTGACCCTGATCACCCGTGGCTACACCAATGTTTAGTACGCTTCTTCAAAGGAGGTAAGACAGGAGTTGATATGTAGTAAATCTGCTGTTGGAAACTGTTTTTAACATTACTTTTTTTTATGATTTCTTACTTTTTCTAACTTGTTACTCACTGCCTCCTCTTGTCTGTTTTCTACATTCCTCCCACCATTCTTTTCATCTCTCCATCGTTGTTTTCGTCCTCCCTCCTCTGTAGTCTCAGAGAGTAAGGAGCTGCCAGAGGTGGTCAGGACGGTGCTGAAGCAGGAGATCACCCGGCTGTTTGGAGACAGCAATGCTAAGAGCTTCAACCAGGCCTACCTCACCAAGCACTCCAACTCCATACCCCACCGACTGGCTGGTAAGCTACAAAAATGCACATAAAATGTCAACTTTGAACAATATACTGAAACAATTTAAAACATCTGAATTCTATTCTCAACACACAGTGTCTGATGGTTTTGTAAATTGTCGTCTTTTTCATTAAACTGATTGTTGGAGCCTGTCTATATCACAGATCTCTTCTACATTTTTCTATTCTGTCTCCATGATGCGCTGTTTGGTTCATGGGATTTTACATTTTAGACATGGATTTCACACACTCACTCCTCTCTCCCTCCGGCAGCTGCTAAGATGATGGCGTATCTGGACTCGGCGACAGAAATGAAGGCAGCAGAGTTGGCCACTGCACTAGATGAGTCGCTCAACAACAGAACCATACAGGTTTGTATTCATGGAAGTGAATAAGATGACAAGAAGGAAATAAAGAATGGACTATTGAGGGAATCAGCCCCCTGAATAAGAAGTTTTTTTTTCTTAATTTCTGTCCTTTTCTCCCCCCCCCCCCTTCAGATCTGTACGGAAGCACTGGAGTGTCTTCGGAGTGGCATCCTAGGCGACTGTGGAGAGCGTGTTGAGGAGTACCGTGCCGAGTGTCACAAGCTTTACCCCTACACGTTAGCTTTCATGCCCCCTGGATACGAGGAGAACACCAAGATCACCAATGGAGACGTTTCCACGGAAACAGAGGAGATAGCCAATGAGATGTGAGCCCAACAGAACAACAGCGGTTGAGAAAAGGAATTGGGCCCAGCACAGAGTCTTGTGGTACGCCTGGCAGCCATTTTGTAAAGCCAAACATGGGAAGCGAAAAATGGGTGTTCCTCTTTGGCTCATCTTAATTGGCTCTGACCTGGCATGGCTAGGCTCTCTCCCACGTGGTGAAAATCAGGACTGTGTGAGTGTATGTGTGTGTTTGTTGAGGGCGCGTGTGTGTGGTTGCGTGTGTGTGTATGTGTGGTTGTGTCATTTTGTGGGAAAGCAGGGGGGGGGGAAAGAGGGAGAAAACAGAATGGTCATTTTTCTTTTTTAATTGAGCTGACAACAATGCTGAATATCCAAACAAATAATAGTTAATGGCAAACTGTGACACAGACTGTCGGTTTCCTCAGTAACGGGGATGGCAACCAATCGAGTTTGACTCAGCGCTGCTTCAACACACTTCCGTCACATACCGTGTTCCCCTTGTTTTAAAAGAAGAGCTCATTTAAATTAAAATAGGGCACAAGCGTCACGGGGGACGAGGGACTGAGGCAAGTGGATCTGATCCCTGACAGATGTGCAGGAGTCTGAGCAGAAGGACTTACTGAGGACCTGACGTAGACACAGAGGACATCAAATGGCCACAGGTGTATCTGTATCTGCTGTGACGCTCCAGTAAACCACAGACCTACAAGTAGCAGAGCAGCGGAGTGTGTAAGGAAGGCCACAGCATGGAGAGAGAGAGAGTCCTCGCATGAACAGTTTTCTGGTCAGACTGTGCTTCCTTCACTGTTCCTGCTTCAACACAGGATTATCTAATCCTTTGTCTGTTTATTACGGAGCAACTTGTAGCACAAAAAGAGAAACTGTAAAGGTCTTGTGCTCCATTTCAAATACACTGCTACTCTTAACCTTTGTAAGTAGTTCTGAGAGAGTCGGATAGATCTAAGCAATACCATAGACACCTCCCTGTCATTAATGGATCAATGAAGCTCATCATGGGTGATGTTTATCTCAACATCTGGTTGATTTGGTTCCACTGAGCCTCCTGGCAGAGTCACTTGAGTTGCTGCTGTCGTCACTAGTGGAAATGGTTTAATCTGCATGAACACAGACTGACAAAATCGACGTGGAATCGAGCCTCCAGTGAATCTTACTTCAGAGGGCTCTAAAGGTCAGGGTTCAGCATCAAAGCCTGCTGCCCGACAGGGACACAAGTGAACATGTTACAAGGCGAGAAAAAGAAAAGCCTCTAAGCATCTGGAATTTATTTTACTTCTTCTGTTCTCTCTTTTTTTCCCCTCCAATAATCTCTTTTCTTCCCCTTTTTCCTCTAATTTGGGATCTAATGTGAAAGAGGAAATCTGAGATGGTGATGTATGATATCTCTGGAATTTTGTATTAAAACCAAACAAAAGAAACCGTTGTGTAGCCTCTGTTCCCCTCACTGAGCTGCAGTGTTCCAGGGTCAGTGACAGAGACTTGTCGTGGCTCAGTTCAGACCCGCAGCATTTCGATTGAGGCTCATCACACAGTTGGTCCTCAGATGTAGCCACTGTATATAAAATGCAGTTTAATGATTCATATGTTTTGTATTAATAACCGACTCAAAGACAGAGCAGAACTCAACCTCAGCTGATTTATTATTTTTCTCCAAGTTTCTAATATATAAAAAACTACAGTTGACTCGTTAGTTATCATGGTGTAAATTATTTTGATATTTTTGTTTTTGCTATTCTAGGATAAAGACAAAGATCACTTGTGTGACAAAACCAATTTTGCATTTTACTGCTCTCTTGTATCTTCCACCAACAGGAGTTTTCGTAACTTTTTTTTCTGAGGCCCATATTTTAAAACTAATTTTGTGTCATTGCAAAGTACATGCATGACCTGAAAAACACATGCTCCTTCAATATTTCACTCACATTTCAGAATGACGTCTACTGGCCTGTTGAACCTGATCTTTAATAATTCTCATAGTCTAACTGAGTCTGAGGATTAGAGTAAAGGTTCTTTTTTTTTATTTAAACCAGAATTGTACTAACCAGCTTTGATCTGTTGTCATCTGTTCAGACTGGGTTTCCTGCTCTCATGTTTTGTGTCTACACTGGCGAACATCCCAAAATGTCATTAACAATAAAAATCCACTTGTGGATCATTGTTCCAACAGGTGTTCATCCTTTGTCAGAAACTATTGTCCACATGTGCACAGAAGCTTTGTATATTAGCTGAAATGAAGACAACGCACACTGAAGCAGAAATCTGTCTTGTGAAATACGGAGGAGGTGATTTTCTAGGAGACACTGCTGTAGTGCAAGTCCACCAGCAGGGCGCAGCACCGTGCTGTGTCCCCTCAGGAACAAAATAGAAAACTGAACCAGACTGAAGCCAGGAAGTCAAATGTAGTCCTTGGCAAATTGGTGAAGAGTTGGTCCCTAAATGAATCTGTTCACAGCTTTGTAAAGTTGTAATCAGCATGAGGCTCACTACAGAGAACAGTGTTTGAGTCCTATGTGCCTTCATGTTCTTGTAAGGTCGTTTCTCCCCATTTGTGAACTTGTACTGATTTCGATGTTTTCATTTGCTCTGATGTCTAAATGTGGGGGAAACATGGAGGCTGTAAAACAACGTTTTGTATGTGTGTGTTTAGTGTTTACAACAACTTGACACCTCTACAATATTTACACAAAAATGTAAAAAGCAATGAAAAGGGATCAGGCATGATTCATTATTTTAATAGTATATACATGTATGTTTATCATAAAAACGTCTGTATAAAAAGCGATGTTAGGTGCTTGTGAAATATGGACACAGACCTTAAACGCTTCAGGTGGTTCTCTATAACTTTGTGCAGCAGGTTCCACAAAGTAACACAGACAACACGTGTGTTAGACAGATGTTTACAGATGAGTCCATCGCGTGTGTGGAGACTGAGGCCTGCTCGTCATTGGTCAGATCCTCACTCCGCGAACACCAATCAAATGAAGCGAAGCAGCAGCTGAGGGGGGAAGTTGTTGAGTGATCAGAGAAGCTGCAGCTTCACCTCCGGCAGGAAGCGTGTCTCCCCAAAGTGTTTGTTTTGGCTGCAGCTGCGTCTCTGGAGACCAGGTTTCTCGGCAGGATGGAGTCATCTCTGGAGTTTTCCAACTCTCTGGGCAGCGTGTCCTCCCTGAGCCGCTGTCGGACCTTCAAGGTGCTGGTGATCGGAGACTCCGGGGTGGGGAAGACCTGCCTCACACACCGGCTCTGCGCCGGACAGTTCCCCAGCAGAGTGGAGGCCACCATCGGAGTGGACTTCCGCGAGAGACAGCTGGACGTCGATGGAGAAAAATTAAAGGTAACCGGGGAAGTTTATGCTCCTCGATGTTAATGAGACCGCCGACCGCGTAAATCTGTGCGCAAACCTTTACGCACACCCAAAGGGCGCTTTTATTTTGAAAAACTTGGAAGATGACCTGCCGACCAAACAGCCACTTGCAGATTTTAGGTACTTGTGCTAACAAGTAGAGTTCAGTTAAATAATGAGTTAAATACTGAGTCAGCCTTCACCAACAGTAGCGAACACCCAGCAGCTCGAGGCCTCACCTGGGAGATCAAACTTTATTAAGAGTCCTGCAGGAGACAGAATCAACGGAAGTGCAGCAGCACAGTCTCAGGGTTTGTTTTAATGTTGAATGTTCGGATCCCAAAGCTGAGGTCTGTAAAACATCTTTGTTCACCTCCAGTTTCAGTTCTTTGCAGGATGATGGATAAGCATCTTCTCAGTCTGACTGAAGCTCTGCATGTTCTGCTTTTTCTACAAGGCCTTATAGAAGGAACAAAAGGTGGCTACAACATTCCTACATAAGAGTGATATTGAGGTTATGCACTTTTTTTTTGCCACAAATGAAGGTATTTGGGTTTGGTGGCAACATGCTTTGATCATGTTAATAAAACCAAAATAGATCGTGGGCTAAAGAGGAAGAACGTGAAACATGTTGAAATAGCTCATTTCTCATTTTCTTCCCGAGTTCCCTTCTACATACTCACATTTGAAGACATTGTTTTATGTATAAAAAAACGAATCCTATAAACTTCTCTTATGTGTCCTCTTCTGAAATATTGACTGGAGTAAAGAAACACGTGTTTTCAGTGGGTTTGTTTACAACCAGTCATTAATGAGAAAAAGACACTAACTCTGATTCTATATTTAACAAAGTGGTTTGATTTTATGTTGCATATTTCAAAAGTAGGAAGAAAAACATTTCAAACAACTTTATTAACAATGATGTGCAATGTTAGAATGATAACTTTCATCAAAGAACCTGTTCACAGGACTGAACCTGGGACATGCTTTGTGCTTTCTTGATAATATGTTACGGTACATACTGATGATGTCACATGTTCAACACATATATCAAAGTACAACATTCATATACATTGTAAAGCTTTCTAATATGCACACTCACCATTTCTCTTAAATACTACATCTAGGACCTAAGTAGAGACACAATTATCATTTCAAATCCCCCTCTAGTCCAATGAACATACTTAAATCGTATTTATATTTAATTTCTATGACATAAGAAATAGTTTTTCTTTATATGTAGGGAAACATTAAGAACTTATGTTTCTTTTTACCCCACATGTTGGTTTTATGAAAATGAACAAAATATGCTAAGAACCTTGTTTTAGTCTAAATATTTAGGAATTCTTTATTTTTTTTAAATCTCAGGCCTTACACAAATACAAAACATGTTGTCGGTGCCTCAAATGCTCCCGTCATACTGATAATATGTTTTTCTTTTATCCTAGAGTTTGGTGAGCCTCAACGCAATACTAGACTAAAAATAAATAAATAGCCAAACATGGCTTCCAATGTAAGTTGTGTTTTAGACCATAAGAATTAAATAATTTAAAACTGTGTCCTATGAAAACAGGATTTGAACAGAAATGTTTTCGTAGCTTTTGTTTTGGGACCGATTTATGACAAAGACAAAATCAGAGACGCTGCAGCAACAACTTCATCTGATTTAGTTTTTTAAGAGTGAGCTTTTTTAAACGGTGTCTTTATCATCTGAAATGACACAAACCTAATCTGTCTCAGTGAGTGAGTGTGAATTCTCTGGATGTCAGAGAATCAGCAGAGATGCTTGAGCTGGTAGAATGAGCAGACACTGAGGATGATGATGGATTCTGCTGACATGTCCGCTCCTAATCAACATCAGCCGTTTCCTCAATGGATCCGATTCAAGCGTTATTTTGAACCCATCCTGCAGCAGAAGCCTTGTGTGTGTGTGTGTGTGTCAAGCTTCTCCTGAGCTGAACGGTTGATAAAGGACTGTGATGGTTTTATTTAAAGTCGGTGGGTGTTAGCCAACAGTTGTGTCAATTTCCATTTGTTGGAGATTAAAGGAGCAGTCCCACTACTTCAGCTGGACAGGGGAGAATATGTTTTTAGTCGAGAGTGCAGCTGTGTTAGCAATGTTTTCAAAAAGTATCTGAAAGCACGCACATCCAAACCTGATGAGCAGTTGTTGCTGGACAGAAGCGACAAAAAAGGTCAGGTACTGTCCTAATGTTTTGGTCACTTGCCCTTGTTCTTCTGTGCCCAAAGCAAAGACCCAAACATATCTGAGCTGTGTTCTCAGGCCCTTCTTCTATATCCTGCATGAACTGCTGTGAGAGCTGCTGTGGTTACCAGATTTTATACATGACCGTTTCTTATTTCAAGCCTCAACTCGAACCTTAAAAAAATCAAGTTATAAAAGCCAAACACGTTGTCTGTCGTTGGATGTGGAACATGGATTTACTGTATAATCATAGGTTTCGTGCAGAGTCACATAGTTTATGACTGTTTTGAACTTTAAATCATTGATTTGTGTTTTTATAGGAAACTGTGACAAAGACTCAGAGATCTTACTTTCTAACATCACATCAACTTGTTTATTCCTTATCTTAGTTCCTCTCAGCAATGACTCAGTGTATGTCTCTGTGCATGTTACTGTCTGTGCTGATTATTTCAACACACCATTTCTTTTCTGTGCCTCCTCCATTTATTTCCTCTTTCTCACGTCGTCTCTACACCACCTCAGTGCCAGTCAGTGGGCTCCAAAAGGGAAAGTGTTGTTTGGACACCACTGAGTACTGCATTGTACTGCATACAACTATTTCCAAAAAGTAACTGACTAGTCAACATTTAGAGAATTCTCAGATTGACATCTGCCTTTCTTTTTCACTTTATTACTTTATGTCCTCACTATCTTTGTCGAAGCCATAAGCGGATGTAGCTTGAGATGGTTTTGCATAGCACTGGTATAGATGTCCTACTTAAGGACAGCCTTACATACGCTGCAGCTGACTGTTTTATCTGTGCTGGTTAAGTATTTCCAACCTGTTGATTTTAATCGAGCATTTCAATCTGGTGGTACGGCCATGTTTCTTCCCGGCTCTTGCGCCCAAACTGCAGTGTTAAATTAGGACATTACAACTATAACGTGACAACTGTGTCAACAACCAGAGCGCCCCCTGCTGCATATCTACTGTAGATACCATTTCTTTGTCACTGCACTGTGCTAAACCCTCAGATGAATGACTAGTCTACAACGATGCACAGTGTCCCCCTACCACTGAGTACATTACCGTTCTCTTTGTTTCAGCTCCAGCTGTGGGACACAGCAGGACAGGAGCGCTTTCGTAAGTCCATGGTGCAGCATTACTATCGGAACGTCCACGCCGTGCTCTTCATTTATGACGTGACCTTCCCCGCCAGTTTCAGCGGCCTGGTTTCCTGGATAGAAGAGTGCAGGCAGAACTCAGTAGGACAGGATATCCCAAGGTAACTGTCCGCTCTCTGTGTGTAGTTATCAAATCAATCATATGTTTGTTCTGTGAATCATCATTTGTCCCTTTCCGCTGCCTGCTCTCCTCACAGATTCCTGGTGGGTAACAAAAGTGACCTCCGTGACCCCAGAAGGACTGAGGGCCAGGTGAGCCAGGAGCGGGCGATGAGCTTCGCCAAAGCCCATGGCATGATGTTCTTTGAGACGTCGGCCAAGAACCCGCCACTCAAGCGTGTGAACGGACAGCGAGGAGACAGAGAGGTTTCATATCAGCAGGATAAGGTGGAGGACATCGTCCTCGCCGTCGGCGCCAAGCTGAAGAGACAGAAAAAACCTTTGGCAGCGAACACTGCGACGTACAATGGGTCCTTTAAAGTCCTGAGCAAGAAAAGAGCAGAGAAAGAGCAGTGGACCTGCTGCTGAGACACAGAGGGAGGAGAGACTGTTGGACTTATTAGCTCTTTCTATGAGCGTTTGAGAGAATATATGTAAAAATGTTCATTTCGGACCAAACACAACTTTGACATATAAAATATAGTGGCTTTCAGTCCCATGCAGAACTTTAGTATTTATAAAAAAAAAGTGAAATGTCCTACTTGGATATTTTGTGTATATTTGTGATCTTATTGTTTACAATAGTTGCAAAATAAATAAAATGTGAATGTAGCTGTTATTCAGCTGAGGCTCTGATCCAAATGACTTTTCAGTGCAGTGACAGCAGCGTGTGTGGTGTCACTGGGAACCAACTGTGATGACCAGTCACACATATGCCCATGTTAAAGGAAAACATTTCAATCACAAGGTGATCTAATTTCATCACGGAAACTCATAATGTGACTCAGTAGTGTGCATGAACTTCGTCATCCAGGAACTGCCTACACACTCTGGCCACATGAGCCCGGGCATTGTCCTGCACCAGGAGGAACCCAGGGACCACTCCACCAGCATACGGTCTGGGCTGTGAGCACAGGTCCCACTAGAAGATGTCGTAGTTAGTCATGCACACCAGTAGCCTGCTGGAGGTCATTTTGTTGGGCTCTGGCAGTGCTCTTCCTGTTCCTCCTCACACAAAGTAGCAATTACTGTTCCTGCTGCTGGGTTGATGCCCTTCCTTGTGTCACAGCCGGTCCCCTGGTACCTCCTCCGTGCTCTTGAGATTGTGCTGGGAGACACAGCAAACCTAACGTAAGGACTAGCTGGACAACCTGTGCAACCTGCAGGTACCGCCTCATGCTACCAGTAGTGACAAGGACACTAGCAGAACACAAAACCAAAGAAGAATCAGTCTGGAGGGATAAAGAGAGATCAATCGTCTGTTGCTAAAACCGTTCTCTTTCTGAGGGTTGTCTTGGTTTTGCCTCCATTGCACCTGTTGTCACTTTAATTTGCACCAAAGCAGGTGAACGTTATTCACAAACACTTGTTTCCTAAACAGACACATTGATGCCTGGTGTTTTAAACTGACTTTGTTATACTTGGACGATTTAGTGTTCCCTTGTTTTTTTTTGATCAGTGTATATTATGATTTGTCTCTATACAAATAAAATTGAATTAAATTAGCTCGAGCTCCCCCTGAGGATAAGCAGTAGCCCGTAGATATAATAATGAGGACCTGGCAGACCCAACTGTCCTCAGTGGTAGTGCTACAAAAACACTGTGTTAGATAATAAGCCACAACGCTGATGTCACTTTCACATAACACTTAACAGAATTTTTGTTGTCTTATAAAAAGTGTTCACTTTAACTTCATGGTCACAATTTCCAGAAACGCAATTCTTTCTGAAAGCTTTGACTTCATAATATGGAACCAAACCCATGACACATAGACCATGTGGTTAAATCACACAAACGTCTTGATGATATGAAACTCTGTGCCGTCTGAATATTAAGAGCCAAAAAAATTAAAACCACTGAGGCTMMATAGTCACAATTTATTTACAGCGTGTACTGTGTCTGTGATGTGACATATTTCCAAGGAAAACTGAATATACAGCCCGGTAACATGTGTTTATGGACAATGAAATTCTCAACTGAAACCCATGCTCTGCTGGAGCTATACCGAGCCACTAGATAAGAAGTGCAGTATTCTCCATATGTGACTTCCCTGATTCAGTGTATGAAGCAGTGGTTCAGTGTTTCACCACCATCTAATCCCGCCTGTTGAGTCTTTACACCACAGCTCCGTGTCTAACTGGACAAGACCTCACAGCAGTCATGCAGCGGTCTTGTGCGTGAGCCGTGTGGGCGATGGAAATGTGTGTTGTAATGCTTAGTCGAATCGATGATTCAGAGGTCGTCACATGATAAGGACAAACCTCTTGTCCAGAGAACAGTGGATCCTACAGCACACTGGAGGTTCTGTATATGTGGAGCTGCGTGAGCGTGAGTGTGCACATGTCAGTGTCACATTGGTGCAACATTCACCAGCCCCGTGGCGGATTTTTTTTCTTTGCACGCAGGAAAGACTGGAAGTGAAGGAGGAGAGAAGATGACAGTGTTTATTTCCTCAATCTGCCTCAATCAAAATATGAATTACAATTGACCAAATAAACGAAAGAAGGTGTCTCTAGAGTGTCTGAAGTGTTTTCTGGGACATCTGACAATATTTTCACTCTGACAGATGGAATTTCCAGCTCTTCACTGGAACATTCCATAGATTTTACGCATCAACAACAATTTGCTGCAGAATCTGCGAAAACATTTGCGTGGTTTATTGTTGTCAGGAGGTTCCTGTCAGAGAGGATGACAGTGTCGTCGGTGTTATTCAAGCAAGGAGGTGATACACTGTAAAACAGAAAGCCCTCACAGAGTTACAAACTGGGGGCATGCAGTTTAAGAGACACAGGCAGGAAGGAGCAAATGAAAAGACACATTTAAGTTGCATTGTGGGAAATGTAGGATCCAACTCTTTCTCATCTCCTCTCAGTCCAGGGACTAAAAGTCAGAATATGTCGACAGCAGCTGCTCAGACTTTGACCAGCAGGTACTGTGATGTAAGTGCAATACAAGCTCTCGCAGTAAAACTAGTGGATGTGTACATGTGTTTTAAAGTGAATAATGGCACTTCTCTCCAGATGTGTGGAGGATAAAAAAGTAAAAGCTGCTTCTCTGATGTTTAGATTTGACCTGTCTCTGATTGCCTCGGGGTCTGGATGTTCTAGCAGATCATAAATGTATTTTGGACCAAATGCCCTGCAGAGGCTCTCCTTTGGTGATGGGCTGTAGCTTGGGAGAGTTTTCCTTCCTTTAATCACACAATCATTCTTTTCATTTGTTCCTCCTCTTCATCTCTTCCCTCTACCATCTCATTGAGATTGTGCCCCCCAGTTTTGATGTTATGTCACCATCACAGTAGTGTTGTGGTTGTTTGTAATGCGCTGTAAGTATTTTAAAAAAACTTTGAATAAAGAGCTAAAGAAAAAGAAATGTAATATTATAACATTATAACCTGGCACTATTTTGAGGTCAGTACTCTGACATAGAGGAAACCAGAGGAAACATCTGAGAACATGGCTTTGGGGATATGATCAACTTCTTTCTCTTCCAATATTGAAAGTTGAATTTTATGGACTCAAGCTTTTTCAGCCAACATAGCTTTACTTGGTCAGGTATGACCAGTGAGGTCGGTGACGCCATGACTCTTTTTAATTGTCCCACTGTTACACTGGATCTCAGCATTAACCATTGTCACGTAACTACCACTTGTGGGCGACATTTAGCAAAAGTTAGATAATCTTGCAAAGCATAACCTACACAATTACAGTAACAGTCGAGAAGAAGACAACCTGAACTCTGAAACGTTCCCCTGTGTGATGTTTGTACAGTAGGCCCACATGTGTAATCCATTGGTGTATTGCTAGTGTCGTAACTCCCTGTTTCACCACAGGAGGGCGACAGAGACACTGCATAGCTGTTGTAACAAACTTGATGTGATGTAAACTGTAGATTTATTTCTAGAGGAGAATCACTGTGGTGCTTAAACCTACAGAGAACAGCTACTGTCACTCTACGTCTCTCTGAGTTTTCCACTCTGACCCACAGCACCTCTCTGGGACAGTGTTTTATATAACCACAGCTCTCTGTCTCTTTCCATGCAACCACATGGGACGCTAATCCACTTGGCACCAGTGTAAGAGATGATGTCACAACATGATTTCATCCCATTTGGAAGAGGGATTTGATTTTCAGGAATGATTGGTGGATTATGCAACAAAACAACAACAAAAAAACACCAAAAACTGCAAAGGTCCCAACTGGTCCAAGTCTGCAACAAGAGTCCAAACACAAGTGTTAGAAAATGTTACTGTCAATTAATACATTCACATAGTTAAATAACCTCTGAAAAACTAGAAACCATCTTGCAATGGGATCACATCCACCTGTTAAAATGTTCTGACCCATGACCCATTGTTATATGAGCACTCAGAAGTTGTATTTACATTACAGACAGATGTTGAGACTGCTGTCCCTCGTACAATGGTCTGTCGTTCTACCAAATGTGACTGCTAAACTTGCAGCAGTGATTAAAAGCAAATGTGGGTCAGGGGCTCAGGCCGAGCACCCGGCTGGATGATGGGTCAGAAGTTTTATTTTCTGTAAAATGTACTACATCTTGTGTTGTTGTGGTGCTGCCGTGGTGACACAGACGGACAGATGGACAGACATGTGCTAAAGTAGTTAAACTATCTCTGTAGTAGTTCACACTACAGTGGGTGTCTCCTCAACCACATCACAGACACACACACACACACACACACACACACACACACACACACACACAATCAGTTCAGGCTTCATCAACTCTGCTACCACGCTGCTGTTGTTCCCTCTCTCGCCTGTGGGGGTCGTCCTACTGAGCGGATCGTGTATGAAGAAAGGGGGCGTGCTCGGTACCGATCAGCATTGGTCAGAAATTGAGTGCTCCTCCTCATTGATCTTTAAAAGCTGCAGGAGACACACGGACCCACACGCACTCACTCCTTTACCTGCTTCCGAGTCAAGATGTTCTGCAGACGGGCATGGCAGAGAGTCGGGCCGCTGGCACGCAAGGTGCTCAGACCCACATCCAGGAATGGTGAGTGGGGACAGGTTATCACTTTACTTTCTTTAAATGTGTGTGTGTGTGTGTGTGTGTGTGTGTGTGTGTGTGTGTGTGTGNTGTGTGTGTGTGTGTGTGTGTGTGTGTGTGTGTGTGTGAGAGTGAAGTTAATGCCTCTTGTTTTTAAGCTGCAGGCTTTAATTGAATGGAGTCAGTGAGGGGGGGTCTTTTGTCCCATCTTCTTCTAAATTTACTTTTTTTAATGCATTTTTTTTAAACAAATGATAATTTTTCAGAATTTGATGAAACGCATTTAAATCTGAATTATATTCTCGTTTGTATGAAAGCAGCGTGATCGAATGCATCCGTGGGTTTTCCATTGTGCAGGTCGAGCTGCAGTGGGGCCGACACGAGGAGGTGTGTCCTGCTTTGGGAACACTCAGTTCTACACATGGTTATGAAAGAGAACATCTCAAAAAGCCTGCCACACCTCTGATTTCAGCTTTCAAACCTTCACTGCATGAAGGGTGTTTGAATTTTCTGTGTTAAAGCTCAAGTGTTAAATTTGTATTTGTAGAAAAACGTCCACGCACACTGGACTCCTCGTCACGTGTTGTGCTATTATTCTTTCAAGTGAGCAGACTAAGTGGAGATCTGCCCTCCCCAGCTTGACAATCTCATTAGAAGTCAGTTTAAATCATAGAAAAATACAAAGTGACCCTATACATTCACTACATGTGAAGCAATAACAACATTAAATGAATTATATTTGCATTTAGAGCCTCACTTTCCAGTTTGCATGTGAGCAGAGGACAGTTACAGACTTGATCCCCTGCATTTAAATGACACTTTGTCTTCTCATGCGTTCCTGATCAGATCCTTTACTTTGCTTATGTGAGCATGTGGAATTTAGACTGAGGGCAAACTGCAGCTTTAATATCCTGTTTTTTGAACTTGACTGATGCTGCAAAACCCAAATGTAATGAGGGAGATTCCAGTTTCAGCCTCAATGGAGACTGACGTGTTTCATAAAAGACCAAAACAAGAACTGCACATGTGCATTTGCAGCCTGTGTACTCGGGGTCCAGGAAATAAAAGAGCAGGGGTTGGTCCTGGGGGCTACACATGATCAACAGTAGAGGAGAGGGGGTGAGCACATGTTCACCTTGCACGCCCACATGTGTCACTGGTGCTATAGAGGCCATGTTTGTCTGTTGCCTGACATGCGTGTCCATTTTGACAGGCCCGAACCTCAGTGCAGGGATTAACTGATTACCTGTATAAATAACCTGGACTTGGACTCTCTGCATCAGTGCTGCTGTGTCATTGGTATTAGAGGAGGAGGGACTTGGGACCGGCAGCTCCATTGGCTCAGCATTCATGACAGTTTAGTTAGTTTTTTAATAATGCATCACTTGTAGTTTACATTGCAAATGTAGCTTGAGCCAGCCGCTGTTAGCCTATCTTAGCATAAAGACATGGGGGGGGGGGGGAACTGCTAGTTCTGTGCAAGGGGAACAAAATGTGCCAGAGTCTCACTTCACTAATGTGCAGGTTTATGAATCCTCTTTTGCACCACATGGTTATTTTTAAGGGGAGTTGGGTGCTGGATTGTTTTTGTGTTATGAAATTTAAGATTTCTTAAAGGTCATCTTGAAAAAAACCCACAATTCTAATCAAGTCTTTCATATAAAAAAAACAACCTGTTCACATAATCCAGTTAAAATGTTTGACTGTGCTTTTAAAAACTCTGAATGTAACAGGTGAACAATCTTCAAGGTCATCAACCACAGTGTCAGTGTAAAGTTCCCGGCCTGAGTTATGATTTGCCTAAACACATGTATGAAGAATGACAGGGGCGTGTTGCACATAACTGTACAGTGTGTTCTTTTACTTGCCTCACATGTCCCACTCAGACTGCTGAGTAAAGCAAACGCACACTGTGTACATCAAGCTGTGCACTGTAACCCTTCACGTACACACTCTTTGGTATGCGTGCATGTTTTTCCAGGTATAGGAAGAGATTAGACCGAGCCAGTGTTGGGGATGCAGGGTGGTTTTATTTATGGCCTCCTCTGCATGCACCACTGGCAATCCTCTAAACACCAGCAAATCTTTTCACAGGATGTCCGAGCTACACTCCCTTCACCTGTGTATAGGTGCCTTTAACACATCCCCATTATCAGTCCTGACAAATGTGGTGTTCATGAATTCCAGCCCACTTGAGAAATTTGAAAGTTTAATTTTGATGCAAATCTAGAGTTGTGTTTAAAGTGTTTGGGCGCTGCAAGGGATTTAATTTAAGGGACGACTCAGTGTTGAGCTTGGACGCTGCTAAATCTTTCTATCCCCTCCTGCTACAAATGGCCAGAGCTTCATTGTGTAACTGGATTAAGGGACGGAGACATGTTGTCACTGTCAGAACACGTTCTCCACCAAGTCCTATTCCGATTAGAGTCATTTCACGTGAAAACCTTCCCTCCAAACTGTTAACAGGTTTTCTTTATGGTCATATCTGATCTTGGCACATAAGTGTTCAATGATTCCCTATAAGTACAAATAACCACATTCTGGTGCAACATTATCAGATGATGTAGAGTTGTATTTATGAGTGAATGTAAATGTCTTTGCTTAAGGTCAGCCTCCATGCTAACCCTGTACTTTGACCCTCCCATCACTCCTGCAGCTCCTGTGCGACACATGGCCTTTGGGATTCCTGGAGGCTCCACCAACATGACGTACTTTCTCCTGTGTGGAGGAGGCCTCACTGCGGCTGTCGTTTATGTGAGCATCAAAAAAAATTTCTCCATTTAATGTTTCAATTTAAAGTTGAGAAGTGTTGAATGTTGACAGAAGTATCTGTGGTAAGTGTTTAATTGTGTGTGTGTGAAATATTTTAATGCAGATGGTAAAAATTATTAGAATGTAATCCCACAGGGAAATTAAGAGGCTTTATTGTTCCAGTGTTGGTCAGCAGTTCCCAAAAAGCTTTGGTCATTTCTCCAGATTTGGTGCCTATGTTCACTTGGACTCTTAGACGAACTGATTTGATTTTGGTGGTTGGCACTGACCTAATGTTCTTTTGAATATCAAGAACACCCATATGAACTTTATCTGGCATAATCATTCAATTTGACTCAAGAACGGCCTGATTGTAGTTCGGAGGTCCAGGTCACAGCAATCTCACGAGGCTCTAACATGTTGTCCGAAGAACGTTTTGTGAGGTCACTGTTTTTGGCCTCTTGAACATGATATCTTAAGTCTGCCTTCAATGAAACATTAATTAGATTGCAGTGGTTAAAATGTCAAAGGTCACACTGACTTCAAGGAGTCTAGACATTATTATTAATATATTTAACATTATTTTTGGTATTGACAGCTATGAACATAATAATCTATAAATCGCAGAGCGGATGCAAGGAAATATTCTGGTCGGCATACAAAGACTGAGGCGAAATCAAAATGCAAACAGTTCTGCAGCATTGAGATATTTTTGTTTCCTCAAATCTACTTTAATTTGTCTTGTAACTTGTAGTGAGAATATAAAAATTTTTACATATCCACTTTTTATTCCAAACCTTAAACCAGAAGTGTGACTACACTGGATCAGACCAGTTTTCTGTAGATCATCTTAATGTAGTTTAAACACTGGTGTGTTTTTACTATGGTAAACTGGATGGACGGCTCTGCTGGGAGCAGACACCAGTTGAAGGCACATGCATATGTTCTTTGTGCTTTCAGTCGAACTCTGCCACATGCAGCCATTGTCTGAGCAGACTGGTTCTCTGTTTACTGTGTGTATGAGCAGTGCAGGGTCACAACAGTGTGACACAAAGTAGCATTTTACCATTTTATACCATTTGGTTTGGACGAAATGTAATAAACTCATATCTGCCATCCTTTCTCTCAGGCTTATAAGACAGTGAATGGTGAAAGTGAGCGCCCTGAGGACAAACTGGCAGACATCGGCTCCCTGGCAAAGGGTCAGTCACACACACACACACACA